GCAAAATAGTTGCTCAAATCATTGACAAACAAGTGAAGTTCTAAATACAGCCTTGTTTCACTTTTGCCCTATTTGTTAATGCAAACAAAAATATCAATGAACATTCTTGTCAGAACTACATAACCATAGGATACAAGAAGTTGGCGAAAATCAATAAAAGCATTCTGTGACAATCAATTGGCTATATGGAATTCACAGTAAAGAGTATTGCCTACTTTATTATTATTTATAAGTTGTGTTATATATCCTTTATATCAGAATTTATACTAAACCTATACACACAGACACACACACACACACACACATTTTTCCCATGGAGCTAGTTGTTAACCATTTATCAGCACATCACTGATTACACATGTTCACTACTGCTAGAAAAGCTAAGAAAAATACATGAGCATATCCCTAGAAAGGCCCCAGGAATAAACTGAAAAGCTGTTGGCTCTTGGGAAGTTTCTGATTTCTGTTATTATTATTATTAGGCTGTTGGTTTTCTCCTGGGAACATTCTTTGTTCTTATTTATTGTTCAAACAGTACAACATTCTCAAAAGTCAGAATGGTAGAGATGATCAGCCCATTAACTTCTGCCTGTGCAGAGCAAAACTTTTCATTCTCTCTTTGGGCTTTAGGATTGACCTTCGGATCTGGGGAATTTTCCAGGCCCAACAACCTGAGACAGATGAATAGATTCCCCTGATTCAGGATGGAAAAGTCATAGTGAAAAGAAAGCATCTTTCCTGAGATCTAGTTTATACCCAAGGTAACATGGAAATTAACTCCTTAGGTGGAGCCTCTGAGAGCTAGCACTTGCCATCTCTTGGCACCAGGCAACTCAAGGTCATGCCTGCAACTTACTTTCAAAGGGTTCAGAAAAATAGGTGTGTGTGTTCATGTCTACACAGAGAAATAAAGCCATTATGGAATCTAGCTGATGTCTATACAGGTATTCATCATTCTACTCTTTTGACTTTTCTGTATATTTGAAAATGTTCATACTATAAGCTACATGTATTACAAAAGGAGTCAGTGCAAGGAGCTTAGACAGGAGAGTACCTCTCATGTTCAAGAAACAGCAGGAGGCCAGTGTGGCTGGAACAGATTGAACTGGGGTAGAGTAGTAATAGATTAGGTCAGAGGCCAGATTGTGGGGGCCTCATAGGGCCTCATGATCACTGTGGGTTTTAGTCTGAGTGAGACAGGAGCCATCAGGAGCTCTACCCAGTGACTAGACCTGACTTACACACTTTAAACAGGATGCCTCTGGCTGTTAGGTTGAGACTGTATGGGGGCAAGGATGAAAGCCAGACCAGCCAGTGGCGAATACTCTAATCCAGCAATTTTCAAACCGGTGTGCCACAATAATTTTTAAAACATGCAACACCTGACTATTTAGTCAGGGGCACTGATCTCTTTTCCCTTAGATCAGTGGTTCTCAACCTTGGCTGCACATTAGAATCACCTGGGAATCTTTTTAAAATCCTGATTTCTGGGCCTCATCCTCAGGAAATTCTTTTTCTTTGTTACGAATGTTGTGGCCCCACCCCATAACAAAGAAACAGAATTTTCGGAGGATGAGGCCCAGAACTCAGGACTTTAAAGATTTCCAGGTGATTCTAATGTGCCACCAAGGTTGAGAACCACTGCCTTAGATTGTCAAATAAGAATATGACAACAGCCAACATAACCATGGCTGCTGGTATGAATGCTGTCTTGAACTATATAGTTCCATTTTATTGGTCACATCACATAATTAGGTTGTGTCTGACTGGTTAATTCTTGGTACCAGAAATCCTTATATTCCAGTATAGGCACCTGATTTTTAAAGAAAATGTTTTTATTGATTTCAGAAAGAGGGAGATATAAACACCAATGATGAGGATCATCTATCAGCTGCCTCCTATTGGGGATTGAGCCTGACCAGGAATCCAAGTGACCTCCTGGTTCATAGGTCAATGCTCAACCATTGAGCCACCCGAGCAGGGCTGGGCACCTGATTTTTTAAAAAGTAACATTGGAGTAAAAATGGTAGGTAATTAATCTTTTTTGTAAATCAATCAAAGTTATACCCCTTTTTTGGGTTAGATCAGCAAAAAATACATGTATTTTAGTGTGCCACAGAATTTTAGTTTGTGTGCTACAAGATGAAAAAGACTTAAAACTGCTACTCTATTCTACAATATAGACAAGAGTTGTTTGGCAGCTCAGACCAAGGTGGTAGCCCATGCAGTGGTCCAAATTTATTTGGGAGGAAGGTCAGACAGCATACTATTTGCTTCTTTTATAAGTTTATTATGAAAAATATCAAACACATATAGAAATAGAGCCATTAGTGTAATGAACCCCATTGTACCCATTACCCATTTTTAACATTATCAGTACATGGACAATTGTTTCATTGATCTTCATCACCCACTAGACCAGTGGTTCTCAACCTTCCTAATGCCGTGACCCTTTAATACAGTTCCTTATGTTGTGGTGACCCCCAACCATAAAATTATTTTTGTTGCTACTTCATAACTGTAATTTTGCTACTGTAAACAATATGTAATTATGTTTTCCAATGGTCTTAGGTGACCCCTGTCGTTCGACCCCCAAAGGGGTCGCGACCCACAAGTTAAGAACCACTGCACTAGATTATCTTAAAAGCAAATTCCAGATTGCTTCTCATTTCTTCTGCAAATCTTTCAGTATGTACCTCTGAAAGATGACTGATTACACAGAAAATTAATAATTTCTAAATACCACCAAATATGGATTCTACATATATTTTGAAGGTAAAGCCAAGAGGATTTCCTAATAAAGGTATATGTGGAGCATGATAAAAGGAAACAAGTCAAGAACATGTCCAGTGTTTGGCCTGCGTAACTGGTAAAATGGAATTTGCCATGACAGATTGGATAGATTGGCATCGATCAGGGAGCAGTGGGATGGATATCACTTTCTGTGGTTTAGCAACGAGAACACAGGATTTGGATATTAAAAAATCAAGATGGGCCCTGTGGTTGGATGGCTCAGCTCACTGGAGTGTTCTTCCATACATCAGAAAAGGTTGTAGATTCCATCCCCAGTCCAGGTGCATACGAGGCAAGCAATTGATATTTCTATTTCTATCTTTCTTCCTCTAAAAATCAGTGAAAACATTTCCTTGGATGAGAATTAAAATAAAAAATCAAGATGTCAGTTGTGAACTATGAAGTACACAAGTCCTAGATGTTTGTATTCTTGTTCTTTCAAAGTTGTGTTGCCCTGATGGGAGCATAAGGCTGCCCTACCAAGTTCTGCTTGTTTCATTTTGGGATGTCTGCCTCCTTGCTGAGATAAGCCGTAAAGGCTGTTAAGACTTCATGAATCAAATTAGAAGCCTTGAAAAGCCCTACCAAGAGCTATTTTATTTGGAAACTTGTAGCTCATTCCGATGATACAGGCCACTTTGGCCGAGTCTGTTGACATGATCTGGTGTTAGAATGTCAACTTTTCCCGCACTGGGGTTAGTTGCTAATAAAAAATTTGTGTGGCTTAAAAAAATTAAAACAAATTTAAAATGTCTTAAAACCGCACTTGTGGAACCAAGCTGGAAGCCTCATTCCCATTTGCTTTGGTTCCTTAGCCGAGACTTGGAACCTATAAAGTGAAGCCAAGGTGGGTGCAGCAAGAGAACCCACCAGCATTCAGGGACCCTAGTACTTGGACTTTTCAGCCTCACTTGCCCATTCCTCAAGGGGGCACCAATTTACTTCTAACCGTGAACCTCACAATGGCCTGAACGGGTAAGATTCTACTCTCCGCTTCTATTTAAGCAGAGGTCCTGAGGCCCCTGCCAGTGGTGATTTGCAGTTTGCAATTTGTCAAACAGGAGAGTCCTGTGTGGCCAAATCTGGGCTTGAGACTCCTGGACATGCCTCCTTTAGATGACTGATTTGGATGATGTTCAGTTATTCCAGACCAGTATTCTGCCACTCTTGACTCAGGCAGGAACCAAGCCAGTTCCTCAGCAGGCCTCTTCTCTGAACCACAGGCCAGGGAACCAGGGATGACCATTAGACACCCCCAGTTAAATATAGTGATTTGGCACAGACGCATCATGCATGGCTCAGATGGAGAAGTATGTCCAAGTTTTTCAACCCCAAACCTGTCACGGTGGGATGATTTAGGACAGCAGTTCTCAACCTGTGGGTTGCGACCCTTTTGGGGGTTGAACGACCCTTTCACAGGGGTCCCCTAAGACCATCCTGCATATCAGATATTTACATTACGATTCATAACAGTAGCAACAGTACAGTTATGAAGTAGCAACGAAAGTAATTTTATGGTTGGGTCACAACATGAGGAACTGTATTTAAAGGGCCAGAAGGTTGAGAACCACTGATTTAGGAAGCCTGCATAGATTGTAGCAAATAATGACATTAAATGAATGCGAAGGTTGGGAAGCCTGGCTATGGGAGACAAAGGTGCTTTTGGTTTTTCCAAGACATGCTTTATAGTGTAATGGGAATAATTGCTGGTTGAGAAGGCTAACAGCAAAAGGCAAAATAACTTTTGGAGAAGACCCAGGGCTTGAGATGAACAGGTATAGGACCTGGCACCTTACAGCAGGGGCACTTTTGGGGTTTGGCAGTCAAGTCCCACCTGACATTACAGGGTCAAGAAAGCAGGAACAAGTTTATTTTCCACACACTTTCTGTTTTGCAGAGACCTGAGGTTGGAGTTGAGGACAGCAGTGACAGGAAGACCAGAGATAAAGGAAGGCACTGATTTTCTTTAAAGTCAAGAAGACTTAACAGGGTAGACAAGGTCTTGGCCAAGTCAAGGGCTGCTGTTCCTTCTTTGTCAGGTGTGTTCTCCTTCCCATCACCACCCAAGCCCAGCCTGTAACAGACACAGGAAGGTAAATAGAATGTCCGAAAAATCCCATCTGCTTTACATGTTATAAAGTAGAATAGCAGGAAACTAAATAAAAAAAATAAAAAACCCAACCCTCTCATACCAAAAAGGCAATTAATCATGCTGTATTATCTTTAATTAAGTACAAAGACTTTTCCAATCATGTCACCTAGAGCTCATTTCAGCCACTGCTCTGTTTGGCCGCCAGTCTCTTGTCTCTCTCTTCAGCAATGGTGAGGCGGATACCCTTTCCACGGGGTAAGGAAATCCATGGTTTGTTGCCCTGAAGGAGAAAAAAAGAATCAAAACCTGCTATACACCAACTCCATTAGCAGTTTAGTACATTTATCATGTCATTTAAAGGAACAGAAGCCTGCTTGTGAAAGCACTTAGCAACAGCCAAGAAGTCTTCAGACACTTGGATGCTGGTTTTTCAGAAACATTCACTACTTGGAGCCATTCCCCTAAACCTGCTGCCCATATACGTAAATGCAAAAACTACAAGGCTGATGATCACCATTGGCACTTTTTACCAACCAAGGTGATCAGCCCTCCCGCTGCTTCTGCAACACTAAAAAAGCACAGGTCTGCCCAGCCCCACTCTATGTGAGCCCTATCCCAGAAGAAGCTTCACACTAGGTTCTGCACAGCCAGTCCATCAGGAGCTGCAATCCCAGCAGTACCTGCATTTACAGGTTTTCCTTAGACTGGAGAGAAGGGAAACCCAAGACTTACTTTGCCAATTACAAAAATGTTGGAGAGCCGGGTGGCAAAACTGTTGCCATTGGCATCTTTCACATGAACTACGTCAAAAGAACCAGGATGCCTCTCCCTGTTGGTGATTACGCCAATTCTTCCCAGGTTAGCACCACCGGTCACCATGCACAAGTTACCTAGGCAAGAAGGAATAATCTGCTATTACAACCGAGTGTATTACATGACAGAGACAGGTGTCATTAATCCCTTCTCTCATTCAAATTTACTCCTGTGGATCTGTTACCCATGCCAGGCCTGTAAACATTTCTCCCATCCCTCCTACACACCTAACAAATGTGAACTCTACTGCACCCACCTTGCCAGGTCCAAACTATGTCTTGCCTAGACTATGCTGTCCTTCCAAGGCACAATGACAGCATTAACAAGAGCTCTTATTACAAAGAGGCTGGCTTGCTTTTTCACCAGACTTCACCTCAGCCATCCAGAATATTCTGAGCATTTGGGCATTAGAGTAGCTACACTCTCCAGTTTCCCTTTACTACAACAAAGGACATCTAGCTTCTGTTGCTAACTAGGTGCATGGGAATCACCTGGAAGATTCAAACGAAAACTCTGTACCTAAGCCCTGTGCAAGTGATGACTGATGAAATGTAATTAATTAAAAAATTTTTTAAAAAGGGGTGGGGGTGGGGGGAGAGAAAAGCAAAGAACAGCTCCTGCAGGGAAGATGGCACAGAAGGGATAAATGGTGATGGAAAAAATAAAACAAAACAAAAAACCTAAACAGCTCTTATAGCTGGGCTTTCAAGAGAATGCCCAGGTAGTGTAGAGGCTTGCTTACCAGTGTCAAACTTGATGAAATCAGTAATTTTGCCTGTCTCCAAATCAGTCTGAATGGTGTCGTTCACCTTGATGAGGGGATCAGGGTAGCGGATGGTGCGAGCATCATGGCTACCAGATGAGGGATTCCTTTTGTGCCCACAAAGATCTTCCTTACTTTGCACAACTTGTACTAGAAACATACAAAGGTTAGCTTCATTTAGTCTAGTGCACATGCACTATGCTCCACAGTGGACAAAAAGGTTCTTTCAAAGCCACAAGTTGCCAGGTTAAAAATGCAATTAGCAGCCAAAGGAATCAGCTCTACATAGGAAGTGCTGGTTTCCTGAACTACAGTAGAATGGGTCCTTGACTTTTCTTGCCACCCTCCACAAATTTATCTTGTACATTGCCCCTCTCTCTAGGCTAATGTCACAGTGAGATTTTCCTTGTAGCAGCACATCACCCCATGTTAAAATCCACGGCACGAAGGCACCATAAATCCTAATTCCTCCATGGAGTGGGCTGATCACCCTCCTTTCCCCAGGCTGTTTAAGCCTCATGGAGCCCCTGAATTCTTCCCTCGCCATTCCTAAAAAGTGCCTCTTAGTGGCTCCCTGTGCATCACAACTGAGTGTCTCAAGAACTGCAATTGCATTAGAAGTTAATCCAATCAACAAATACCTCACAAAATGTTTCAGCTTTGGATTTATCATTCCCTGACATTTTAAACTAAATCAAATCACCCCGATGTCATGAACATACCCTCCAGCCTGCCAATAACAAGGCAGCTAAGGAAGTTAGGAGTTGAATCACACACATCAACCTTCATTTACAGCCAATAATTCAAGAAACCATAAACCTTTGTGTAAACCATCACAACAAATTTCATAAAACAACCAATGTCTATAATCTTTTTTCAAGCTATCTCAAAATAGTGCCCAAGGATTTTCAGTCTCCTCCATTAACACCTTTCCTCTTCCAGAGTAATGGGGATATGGGGGTCAGTTATTAGACATCCAGCAACAGACTGCTATACAGCTATTAGAAATGCTTTTAATAACACAACAAGAAATTGCACATATGATAGAATTTAACCATATTGTTAACTGGACATTTCCAGATACAAGATTTTAAGTAATCTTAATTTACCTATCTCACCCCAATAGATCAGCCCATGTACCTAAGTAATTTTACTGAAGAAAACCCAGTCTGCTTGCACTCACCTTGGCCTCCTCAGGAGTAATACGATGAACTGCAAAGCGGCCCTTAGTGTCATAGATCAGGCGGAAGTTCTCTCCAGTCTTGTCAATGCTGATGACATCTGATATCAAACAGTAACTAAGGTTACTATAGTGACCCCACTATCCCATGTTGCATAACTATACCACAATAAGAAAAAATAAAATGCTTCCCATTTAAAACAACATGGATTCCTAAGGCTAATGATGAGAGCTACTTAATGTTTTAAGGAGCCAAGTACTAACCACTTACCCATAAAACCAGCAGGGTAGGTTATATCGGTTCGGACCTTGCCATCAATCTTAATAAACCGCTGCATGCATATCTTCTTTACTTCATCTCCTGTTAGAGCATACTTAAGTCTGTTCCTTAAGAAAATGATGAGAGGGAGACATTCTCTCAGCTTGTGGGGACCGGTAGATGGCCGAGGAGCCTGTGAAATGATTTTAAAAAACACCCTCTCAAGCTATTGTTGGGATTCACACAAATCCACCTTCCAAATCCCGAGATCCATTACCTAGACACCAGACTGTCCATCAACCCCCCTCCAGTTTAGGTCAACAAGAGGTATTTAAAGCTTACTATTCCATACCTTAAAATTTTACAATATTTCCCCCCCTTCAAAGGACCAGGCCTCTTAAGTACACGTGAGTCCTGATTCCATGTAAGTGTACTATGTGGTATGTGGAATAAATGAAGTACAGAAATCTTATGGGAGGCACTGCAAGAAACATTATGAATATAGCAGTCAAGGATGTCTGACATAAAGGAACGTAATAGTATAAAATGTATCCCTTAAATTATGTCAATTATATCTCAGTAACTGTCCCTTGAAACACAATTACAATATAATGATACTTACAAACACACCAGTCAGTTTATCCAGCATCCAATGCTTTGGAGCTGCTACACGCTTCAGATGCTTCTTGGGACCACGAGCCTGAGGAAGAGTTTTGTATTTTCATGTTACTGCTTAAAAGTGTGTCTGCTTCTCTAAGCTTTTACTTTTTCTAGGACACTATACTGGTGAAGTGGACAGGGGTTGAACTTCTTGGCACACAGCCAGCCGGCAACAGAAATGTGGACCAGGACCCAATCTGTGCTTCTACTTGTTGATCAAATAGAAAAGTTTTCCCAATACGAGCGTCTGGTGGCGATGAACCTGACCTCAGCACAACCACGTGCCAATAGCTGCTCTCCTTCACCCCAAAGCCAAAAGCCAACACTGGCTTTCACTTTAAAATGCGGAAGCCTATTGAATGCTGTGTACAGATGCTTACTGGCCTCAGTTCGCAAAGTAAGGGCGTGCCAAAAAGACAATGACGAAGAAAATCCTTTTCTGCCAGTTGCAGCTGCTGCCCATCAGCCCTGGCCCTCCAGGTCCAGGCCTGATTAGAAAGCCGCTCCTCCCAGCGGGGGAAGTATGCGTGGCCCGCCAGAGACCAAGGCCTTCCCGCCAGAGACCAAGGCCTTCCCGCCAGAGCCACCTATCACCTCCTCCCTCGCTCTCCAGCCCGCCTGGGCCAACCCTGCAGGCCAAACCCCGATTGCCTCCGCCCGGGCACTCCCTGAAGGGGCCCCAAAACTCCGGACAGTCCCGGCCCTGGGAGGATGGAGGTTGATAGTATCCCAAGAGCTCGCAAAAAAGTTGTCTTACCATGGCTGCGCTAGGCAAAGAAAGAGGACCGCCTCTTTCCGGTGCGCCAAGAAAAAAGGGTCGGAGGCTGCGCGCGCCGACCTTGGATGCTCCGCCCACCCTGGATGCTCCGCCCACCCCACTCTTTCAAGGGGAGCAGGAACTATCTTGCCACCTGCTGGTGGGAGGTCATAGATCTGGAGCTTGGGAAGGGCCGCTGAAAAAGGGCGGTTTCCAAAAAGCAATCTCCTCCCTCCCTTTCCCTCCCTTCCTCTTCCTCTGAGGCACCTAATTCTGTGTTAGGTGCTAGAAATGCCAAGATGAGCTAGGCCAGTGGTTCTCAACCTTCTGGCCCTTTAAATACAGTTCCTCATGTTGTGACCCAACCATAAAATTATTTTCGTTGCTACTCCATAACTGTAATGTTGCTACTGTTATGAATCGTAATGTAAATATCTCATATGCAGGATGGTCTTGGGGACCCCTGTGAAAGGGTCGTTCGACCGCCAAAGGGGTCGTGACCCACAGGTTGAGAACCACTGAGCTAGCAAACTTCCTGCCTTCTAGTAGAATGCAAAGCGAGGCTACTTTAAGGTCCACATACACATGATTGTACAAGCAATAGAATGTATTTTAATTAATATTTAATATTATTTCTTTTTTAAATAATATTTTTATTGATTTCAGAGTGGAAGGGAGAGGGAGAGGGAGAGAGAGATGGAAGCATCAATGATGAGAGAGAATCATTGATCAGCTGTCTTTTTCACGCCCCATACTGGGGATCGAGTCAGAAACCTGAGCATGTGCCCTGACAGGGAATCGAACCATGACCTGGTTCATAGGTTGATCCTCAATCAGTGAGCCACGCCAGCAGGGCTAATATTATTTCTTAAACATATTTGGTCTGCCTCTTCTTCCCAGTTCTCTAGACCAGCCGGTCTGCCCATACTATAAGTTTGGAAGAACCAACATTTTATTTAATCTCTCTTGCTGCTCTGCAGATTGCCAAGAGGGTGAAAGGGTAGGAACTCTCCTTGAACCTTGGTGTCCTGCCCCTGCTTCCTATACAACACACTTGGCACTTATAAAATCTCAGGGAAGAGAGGGGACATTAGAGACCATCCGGTTATTTAACTAAAACTCAGTCTATCATGTGATTTCTCTACTTTGAAACTCCCTTGGCCCTCCTTCCTGGACTCCTCAGGTACCTCCTTCTGCCAGTCATCTGCTGCCTGGACATCCATTGCTCCCTTCACCCATTCCAAACCTCAAAGCTTAAGCCATCCCAGTTACTGTTCTGAAAAAGCTTTCTAACTTCCTGCCTGTGGACCTGATGATTCCTCACCTTGGAATGGCTGTGGACAACTCAACCCCCTTCCTGGGCCCCTAATCTCTTCAGCCTTGGAGATAAACACAGTTCTAGTCCCTCTGGCTCTGTGAGGCCCCAGGCCCCTAGTCAGGGTCAATCCTACATTCTTCTGCCCCAGAACCCTCGGTTCAAATTCCATGACAGCACTTGGCGTATTGGGCTGTACTGACTGATTTCCTTGTCTGTCCTCCACTAGATTGTGAGTAACTCTATGACAGAACCTACCCTAATTCATCTGAGCAGGTCCTTTGCTACCTAACAGAGAGCTTGGCATTATGTCCAGCACTTGGTAAATACTTGTTAAATGAATAAATTGAGTTAACATTCAACTCATTGTGCCAGGCCTTACTATACTATTCCTGAGAGTATCTAGCAGCTAAATTCTAGCCTTTTCCTGAACTCCTCCCACCATGGAGACAAGTTCCTAACTCAGGAGGTTCTGTCTTATATGTTGCTGTCTCTGCCTTCCACTCTACCCTTCAGTAGTCTGCAGAGAAGCAAGAAAGAGAAATATTGTTAGCATTTCTCACCAAGACAGTATTAACTAAGAGGGCAAGAACTCTTTGTCTAGAACCAGGTCCATAGTAAAGCATACTATAAATGATTATTTAAAGGAACAGATAATTGATTGGAGCTGAGGATTAGGGAGAGAGTGGAGATGGTGAGACGATGGAAGGTGAATTCTGAAGTTTTCAGTCTTGAGAGCACTGGGAAGATGGTGGTACTGCTAACAGAGGTGATGAGAGTTGATTTGGGAGTGAGGAATAACCACAGGACTTCCAGCTAGACAGGATAAGAGAAATGGCTGCTCAGAGCTGCAGATATTACTTAATCAATATCACACAGCCAATTAAGAATGGGGGTTGGGTGGGGGGTTGGTTTCTTGTCTCCCAGGTCAGTGGTTTGTGTTTGTAGCACAGCTTATCAAAGGACTTGATGAAATCAAAGCACCCATTTCAGTATTTTTTTCCTCTGTCAGCTTGCATTTAAGCACAAATTGACATTTTAACAACAATAAATGGAATCTGGAAAGAGCTAAGAAAATCACAAACAGTACTTCCCCAAACACCTTAAACACATCATCTGTATTCATTTGTTCCTATTCTGATTCTGATCAGTTTGTGTGTGTGCATACTTTTACATAATTTTAATCCTAGCGTACAGACCATGTTCTATTCTACTTTTATTACATTACAAATACTTTCTGAGTTGCTACATAAGCTTCAGAATTAGTATTTTAACAGCTGCATCACATTCCATTAAATGGATGTCCCATCCTATCTAATAAAAGACAAATATGGTAATTAGCCGCACCTCTGTTACCCTTCCCATTGGCTAATCAGCGAGATATGCAAATTATCTGCCAACCAAGATGGCGGCCGGCAGCCAGGCAGCTTAAAGGGAACAGGAGGCTTGCTTGCTTCAGTGACAGAGGCCCCCAACTTCCCCCCCCTGCCACTGCAGGCCTCTGAGCTGCAACTCTAAGCAACTATGTTACAAATATAGAAGCTAAACAAAACCCCAGAAACCAGCTTTAGTCCGCCAGGCTTCAGCCAGCAGGATTGCAACATTGTTTCAAATACAGAAGGTAAACAAAGGCCAGAAACCTGCTTTCAGCAGCGGAGGCCTAAGAGCTGGAGCCTCAGAGCTAAAGCTGGCCCAGAATGAAAAAGAAAAGAAAAAAAGGAGTGGTTGGAAGCTTCAGTCACCCGCCAGCCTGAAAACAGCCCTCAGCCCCGCACCCAGACTGGCCAGGCACCCCAGTGGGGACCCCCACCCTGATCCAGGACACCCTTCAGGGCAAACCAGCCGGCCCCAACCCGTGCACCAGGCCTCTATCCTATATAGCAAAAGGGTAATATGCCTCCCAGCACCAGGATCAGTGGAGCAGCGAGGCCTCCCGGCACTGGGATCAGCATGACAGGGGGCAGCACCTAAACCCCCTGATCGCCCTGTGGCTCTGTGTGTGACAGGGGACGGAGCCCCAACCCCCTGATCCGCCCTGCTCTGTGTGTGATAGGGGGGAGCTCCCCAACCCCCTGATCCGCCCTGCTCTGTGTGTGATAGGGGGGAGCTCCCCAACCCCCTGATCCGCCCTGCTCTGTGTGTGATAGGGGGGAGCTCCCCAACCCCCTGATCCGCCCTGCTCTGTGTGTGATAGGGGGGAGCTCCCCAACCCCCTGATCCGCCCTGCTCTGTGTGTGATAGGGGGGAGCTCCCCAACCCCCTGATCCGCCCTGCTCTGTGTGTGATAGGGGGGAGCTCCCCAACCCCCTGATCCGCCCTGCTCTGTGTGTGATAGGGGGGAGCTCCCCAACCCCCTGATCCGCCCTGCTCTGTGTGTGATAGGGGGGAGCTCCCCAACCCCCTGATCCGCCCTGCTCTGTGTGTGATAGGGGGGAGCTCCCCAACCCCCTGATCCGCCCTGCTCTGTGTGTGATAGGGGGGAGCTCCCCAACCCCCTGATCCGCCCTGCTCTGTGTGTGATAGGGGGGAGCTCCCCAACCCCCTGATCCGCCCTGCTCTGTGTGTGATAGGGGGGAGCTCCCCAACCCCCTGATCCGCCCTGCTCTGTGTGTGATAGGGGGGAGCTCCCCAACCCCCTGATCCGCCCTGCTCTGTGTGTGATAGGGGGGAGCTCCCCAACCCCCTGATCCGCCCTGCTCTGTGTGTGATAGGGGGGAGCTCCCCAACCCCCTGATCCGCCCTGCTCTGTGTGTGATAGGGGGGAGCTCCCCAACCCCCTGATCCGCCCTGCTCTGTGTGTGATAGGGGGGAGCTCCCCAACCCCCTGATCCGCCCTGCTCTGTGTGTGATAGGGGGGAGCTCCCCAACCCCCTGATCCGCCCTGCTCTGTGTGTGATAGGGGGGAGCTCCCCAACCCCCTGATCCGCCCTGCTCTGTGTGTGATAGGGGGGAGCTCCCCAACCCCCTGATCCGCCCTGCTCTGTGTGTGATAGGGGGGAGCTCCCCAACCCCCTGATCCGCCCTGCTCTGTGCATGACAGGGGCGGCGCCCCAACTCCACAATCAGTCCTGCTCTGAGCCTGACCAGGGGTGCTCTTAGGGATTGGGCCTGCCCTCTGCCACCCGGGAGCAGGCCTAAGCCAGCAGGTCGTTATCTCCCAAGGGGTCCCAGACTGCGAGAAAAACAGGCCAGGCTGAGGGACACCCCCTACCCCCCAAGTGCACAAATTTTTGTGCGCATCGGGCCTCTAGTATTTCACATAAACTAATTGAAAAGTAAAGTT